GTTCTGATACTTGAATGTCCCAAAAGTTTCTGTAAAAGGGGTAAAGGTAAACCTGCCTCCGCCTGATAAGTAGCAAATGCTCTCCGTAAGGTATGCGGTGATAACTCTACATTTAGCGGAATTCCTAACTCCTTTTTAACTTTCTGTAAGAAGTGATAAAAGTTAAAGCGATTAGTCTGGTTAGGTTTTCAGTTGTTTTTCCTTAACTCTTTTATGACTTCTTTGGGAACATAAATCAACCTTTCTTTTTTGCCTTTGGACTTACTTATCCGATATAAACCCTTACTAGTTTTATTGACTAAATCAAACTTTATCGCTTCACTAACCCGTAAACCTGACTTATAACCTAGCAAGAATAAACCATAATGAACTCCCCTTTTACTTTCTTTACGCTTATTAGGAATAGACCTAACCTCCTGACTAACTTTTTTAAGTAGTTGTAAACTAGGGAGCATATATAGTCATTTTAATCTCCTCAATTAAACTTAGTTTCTTTTCAAAATCTTGTTAAAAGTTCAAAACTTAAAAAAACTTCAATTTCTAAACAATTTATTCAGCTCTTAACAACTTATCAAAACCTTTATTAATCCCTTATTCACCTTTATTTACATAATGGTCTTTTGGTTAAAAATAAGTTTGCGAACTCTTTTAATTTCTGCCCTCCTTGGTTAGGATTTTGCTTTCCCCTATTTTTCATTTCATAGAACTTTTAACAAGAGGCAAAAGAAAAGAGGCAATTAGAGAGATAAGTTTCGAATAGAACCAACCCCTCCCAAGGATTAGACTTACATATATATAAAGAAAATTAAAAATAAAAGAAAGGGTAAAAATAGGGTTTAATTGTTTTTTTTACTTATAAAGTAAGTAAAGGGCGGAAAGAGAGTAAAAAAGGCGACACAATTCACCCCTCGCCTCACTTCGAAACTAAAATTATAATATAGGTTGATAATTCCCTATATTTAGTTCTCATTTTGAGAGGTCGGCAAGTTTAAGACTTTTCAGTTACGGCTTTATATCAAAGCATTTCCTATCTTACTCTAACTAGATTACTAGTTTCGGATAGGTCTTGTTAGGTTTACGGCTGATTATTGCTCTAATTGGGTAATCACAGTTAGTTTGGAATAGCAACTTAAACTTCCGTATTGACTCGCAACCAGTTATCTTTTTTGGTGGATTGCTGGTTGTGGGAACAATGAGTTAATTTCCCAAAAAAAGAAGTAAAGAATTTTCCTTATTTCCTTTGTTCGAAAATTAACTTCCTAAAAGGCGAAAATATTCTTCTCCCCTTTTGAAAATAGATTAAAAAAGCGAAAAAAATCCCTCCTCTCTTTTTGCTAAACTTTAATTTTCTTTTGTTTTTCTTTCAAGGAGTAGCATTTAATTTTCCCCCTTGGTTAATTTGCGTGTTAACCATTTTCTTATTCGCTCAAAGAAGCCTGATAGGCTACTAGGTAGGTTAACACGCTATTTTCCAATAACCTATTGACCTACCAAGCCTCTTTCAACGAATAAGTGTGTAATATATTATAATTTTAGGGAAGTATCGGACTTCCTTAATTTTTATTTATTTGTGTATTTCTTTGTAGCAACTTTCGCAACGCAAACTACTTGCTTCAACTTTTTTAATAAATCCGCATCCTATACATTTACTTTCGCTTTCTGCGGGTATCCATAAATAATTTCCTTTTACTTTTGACATGTTATTACAATATAATATTATAATATTCATTTTAGCAAACTTTTCTCCATTCCTTACTAAAATTACCATATATGATAAAGTCGGTTGATGACTTTTTAGTTTATAATCATCAAGGAACTTTCCTAACCGAAAAGGGTTATTTGGTCGGTTTAAGAATGAGACTTTGACAATTTCCTAAGTTTCAGGCAGTAGATTTTCCCCAAGGTTATCAATTTAAATGGATTGTTTTTAACTTGTTTAATAAAAAGGAACAAGTATTATTTGATAATCGCCACGATAAACCGCCCCATTATCATATTGACAGTGAACAAGAATTTTTTAAGTGGAAATCCCTAGTGGAAACCGAAAAAATGTTTTGACAAATGGTTTACCACAAATTTGGCTATTTTAACTATGAATAATAAAATTATGAAACAAAAGACCTTTATCTTTCAATATGACCCCCATTTCTCTCCTAAGCAAATGTTTGGTGAATTTAAGGAAGCGATTAATGGTAAAAAGTATATTCAACCAGAAAATATAATGGTGTCTAATGATTTATCAACTATTCACCGCATAATTAGCAAAGCCCGTTTAAAAGTTTTTGCTTGTTTAAAGGAATATCAACCGGCTAATATTCACCAATTAGCCCAATTATTACACCGCGATTATACCAATGTTTGACGAGATTGTCAAGTTTTAGCCAATTGTGGGATTATTGAACTTAAAGAACAAGGCAAAGAGACTAAGCCAATAGTGCTTTATGAGCAAATTGTTTTGGATTTTCCGGTAAGCAAGGAAACTTTGGCAAGGAGAAAAAGTGTCGGTTTGTCAATTCAACCTTAATTTTCATTAAGTTTTCTCTTTTTGCCTCATAAATAACCAACTATCACTGCTAAACTAATTAAAATTATTCAACCGCCAATTAATAAAGGAGTTTTAGAATTATTCGACGCTTGCTCACTCTTTACTTGACTATTTTGTAAAATAGCTTGTAATTGCTGAGCCTGTTGTCTTTGGGAATTATCGCCACCTTTTATTAAATGCCGAGTATATTCCAATAAATCCATTAAAATAGTGCTTTTATAAGAATTAATTTGAATACTTTTATCTTTCATACCCACTACTAATTTATTAAATTGCTCACTAGTTAAATTTTGGAGATTTTTGGCTCTTAATGGGTTATTTCCGCAGTTAATTTTCTTTAAATTAGGGAATTCTTTCAGTAATCAGGCTAAATCTAACTCTTTAATTTGATTGCCAAAAAAGTTAATGCTCTGTAATTTCTCTTTATTTGGTAAAGTATTTAGGAATTCAATGCTTTCTAATTTGTTGTTATAGGCATTGAGAGAAGTTAGAGAGGTGAAGTCTTTTAAGTTGGCTTCACCGACTAAATCATTATTGCTAATATCCAAATATCTAATTTTTTGCTTATTAGTCTTATTATTAATATGTTGTTGAAACTCTTGGGACATATGATTAATTTTTAATTAAAATGACTTATACTTGCTCTTTTATGTATTTTCGACTATACATGATTGATTTTATATGAATAAAGAGCAAATAAATTATGAATTATTAAACTTAAAAAGGGAAAATTATCCTAAATATTTACTGAATACTAGGCAAAGTGGCGAAGCTTTGGAATTATTAACTAACTTAAAAGAAAGCAGTGTTAGTTTAGTATTTTTTGACCCTCAATATGAACCAGTAAAGAATGTTCTGGCGGTCAATTATCCGCTTTATTCCCAAAGTGATTATCAGATTTTAAGAATATTAGAGCAAGTGGAAAGAGTTCTAAAACCTAGTTCTTTTTGTCTGTTATGAGTAAATAAAACTTTGTTAGGAAATGACCGCATTCCGCTATGGTTGTTAAAAACTCCTACTTTAAAAATAGTGGATTTTCTGGTCTGACATAAAAAGAATACTTTGGGATTAGGGAACTGATTAAGAAGTAATGCCGAATTCTGTTTTTTAATTCAAAAATCCCCCCAAAGCGGAAAGTTATTTAAAAATAGAAGTTTTGGAAATGTTTGGGAGGAGAATGTTGTGCCGGTTAGCAAAAGAAAACACCCACATCAAAAACCAAGAGAGTTAATAAAAGCCTTAATTGAGGCGACTACTGAAAAAGGAGACTTAATTGTTGACCCTTGTGCGGGTTCTTTTGTGGTGTTGGAAGTTTGTCAAGAGTTAAAGAGGGAGTTTTGTGGAGTTGATTTAACTTTTAAAGAATTGAAGGAATTTCTAGAAAAAAGGTAATGGGATTAGTCAATATTGACAATTAGGTAATAAGTATTAAAGTTTTTGTCTTCTAATTTTTTGATAGTGATATTTTTTAAATTAAGGGTTGGCATATTTAATAATTTTCTTAACTCCTAATATCTAGGAAATTTTTATTGGAGTATAGTTTTTTTTAGAAAAATAATAATTTTTACTTCTTGGATGCTTGGGAGGGTTGGCAGTTTAAATTTGTATAATAAAATTAAGTTATAGAAGTTTATCAAATTTCTATATGTGATGATGGAGTTGAAGGAGACAAGATAACAATAAAAGAAGTTCATCGCTTCTTAATTTGCTAAAAAGGATGATTATCTAATTTTTAGGTAGTAGGATGCTATGCTATTTTGAAATTAGGAAAAAGCGAAAGGAACAAAACTATATGGAGACAGATTCAATAACGACAAAAGGGAATACTAATTAAGCAAAACAAAAGCAATTAAGGGACTTATTGGTATTCCAAACAAATAATATGATATTATCCTTAATTGTCTAGATGCTAAACTAGTTAAATTAGCGAAATATAAATAACTAATAAAGTAAATAAATAATAAAATCTTATGGTAATAGAAAATCAAATACCAAAAACCGAAATGGTTTATGAATTAAAGGATAAATATGAAGTTCCTTCTTTTGAGGAGTTTATGAAAACTTATGAGAATGATGGTAATTTAAATTTTGAGGATTTAAGTGATTGTGATATTGGAACACAGAAAGGTTATGGACCTTGTTATGTTTGTAGTAAGACAGAACAGTATGTAGATTTAAGAACCTCATGTTTTTCTTGTCCTAGCACGCATGTCAGTTATTGATGTCATGATAAGGATGGATGTCGTAGCAGTCGCACAGAAATATCTAACAAGGCTTATATAAGATGTAAGAGTTGTCGTATTGATCGACACATGTCAAACTGAACTTTTGAATGTTCTAGTCATCGAGGAGACCCTAGGTCAATAAATCGTAGAGCATACAATAAAGCTATGAGTATGGCACTTGGTATGGATGATTGTAGTCAAGTAGTGACTGATTTAGCCACGTACATAACTTCCCATCCGGAAAAGTTTAATAACAATTAATAACAATAAAAATTTATACAAGATATGAAAGGAAATAATAGAAATAATAAATATGGATATAAAAAACAACAAATACACGAGACTTTAACTTTAACTGCTCATGATAGAAAACTGGCTCATGATGTTTTTTTAATGTCGGTAGAATGATTAGAAAAGTATGTTGAGGTGGTTTATAAGAAAGAGTTTCCTAATTGAGAAAATAGAAAACAAGTTAGAGATAATCTTACTATCAAAAGGACTGATATTTATCGAAATCATAAAAAATTAGAGGAAACACTTTCAACCCAGTTGGCTTTACTTGAATCGAGTGTAGAAGAAGAACCTTTACGGGATGAATTGAAACAAGAATTTTATAAGTGAATTAGTGCTACTGGGATTGATGCTAATAATTGCCCTGAAAAATTAAAACATTATTTATTTGGAGTTAATGAAATATTAGAAGGTCGTGGAGGGAAAATTTTGAAAGATGCAGAAAATAGGGAAAGAGATGTTGAAATGGATTCTCCTGAATATTTGGAACAAATGAGTAGGTTGTTCACTAATGCTCACTCTTCAATGCGAAATGAAAGAGAAGTTGGAAAAAGTTTGGAAGGCAAAACTCATACACAGATAAACATTGAAAGTAAGTTTGGTGGTGGAAATGCTGAGCAGGGTGAACAAGTTTTTAATCAGATTTCCAGTGCGGTTACTAGGAGTCATAATTCTTTCCGCTTTTATCCACAAAAAGAACAACAATCAGCAAGTATTCATCCAACTGACCTTAATGAAGTAGTTCAAGAAGTCAAAGCTACCCCTCAAAATTGAATGCTTGATGAAGTTGCTACTGAAATCGATGGGTTTGGAGGAATAAAGAAGCAAGAGCTTGTTGTTTATTGTCGACATGCTCGACTTTATGCTCATGATGAGCAAGGAAAACTAATCTTTAACAACAATCCAATCTACCTCTGAGAAAATTTCAATTCCCAACAAAGATTTGAAATTAAAAGAGTCAAAAATATTTCCGGTGATTACTTAGTTGTTGATGAAATTAAATGGGTAATTAGAGAATTTAAAGAAAATCCAGGAGATTGGAAAATTGGAATGGACGGGGGACAAACTTATCTTATCCATAATTCCGCCCAAGGAAAGGATAAAATTGAATTTGGAACTTTAATTCACAATCAGCAAAAGTTTAGTAGGGAGGAATGAACAGAAATTAATAGAGTTTTCGAAAGAGTAAAATTAATTGACAATATTAAACAAAGTTCAAGATTAGAAAGGAATATAGTTGTATTTGATCAAAAAAGCGGTAAATATTCTGAGGCAGATGATTGATTTGTTCATAATGAGTGAAAAAACACTAATGAAGCAGGAAGTTTAATTTTTAATTCTGATGCTATGATTAGAGTCAAGGATTTAAACAAAGCGGAACAAAAAGCGGTTGGATATAATAAGTCGGAACAAAGATTACAAGAATTTTCTTTAACTACTCCACAAAAAAATGATAATAAAATTAGCACTGGCAAAGTTTTCGGTGTTATAGGAATTATTGGTGTTTTATTATTTGCTAGTGTAGCAATATTAAGAAAGAGGTTGAATAATAAAAGTAAAGATTAATCAGTCTTTATAAAAATTAGGGGGTGGGTTTTACACCCCCCCCCCCATGCTTTATAAAAAAAAAACTTTAACTTGAATAGTCCTAGGGATAATAATTCTGGCTTTAATAGGGGTTGTTGTTTATTTTTCTTGACCGAAAGTTGAAAATAAGGAACAAGTTAACTTAGAAGAGGAAGTTCAACGATTAAAGAAGAAATTAAGTTCTTTAAGAAGTGAGATTGATATTCTCTCCGATAGCACCAGAAAAGATCTGTTAAAAAAAAAGTTACTTTTTCTTGAAGACTTGATGAATAACTTTTCTGATCAAGAAAAACAGAATAAATCAACTATTAAAAGGCTAGAAAAAGAGATTAAAAAGTTAAAAGAAAAATTAAAGAATGATGAGCCTGATAGAGACCCAGAGCCAGATGATGATGAAAATAAGTTAGAGGTTGTTTTCGCTGGCGAAGCTTGAAACACTACTGGAGAAATTTGTTATCGTTTTGACACTTTTGATCCAGGTTTCACAGAAGAAGTTAAAATTTTTTCTATTAGCAAAGATCATCCTCAAATAAAAAAAATATTAAACCAAGGAAAGATAAAAGAAAGCAAAAGATTTACTATTTGCTATAAGAAAGAAGATTCTCATCAAGGTATTGTTTATACTTTTTCTAAGTTTAATGAGGGATTGAGGATTGAGGAAAAATTATAGATCATTAAATATTACAATAACAATAAAAAAATATGAAAAGATACCAACCGTTAATATTAAAGCAGTCATCTGTTTATGATGTTTTTTTAATGTCAATAGAATGACTGGAAAAATATATTGAAATAGTCTACAAAAGCGAATTTCCTAATTGAGAAAATAGAAAACAAGTTAGAGATAATCTTACTATCAAAAGGACTGATATTTATCGAAATCATAAAAAATTAGAGGAAACACTTTCAACCCAGTTGGCTTTACTTGAATCGAGTGTAGAAGAAGAACCTTTACGGGATGAATTGAAACAAGAATTTTATAAGTGAATTAGTGCTACTGGGATTGATGCTAATAATTGCCCTGAAAAATTAAAACATTATTTATTTGGAGTTAATGAAATATTAGAAGGTCGTGGATGATTAGGAATAACAGATCAATTCTTACTTCAAAACAACACTAATACCAAAAACATACTTTTGGTTGGTTATACTGGTAATGGTAAATCTACTTTAGCTAATGTACTTACTGGCACAGATTTTTTTAGAGAAGGAGGATACTGTGTGGGCGAGACCAAAAATATTAAAAGTGTTGAGTTCAAATGTGAAGGAAGCAATTATCGTATAATAGACACACCAGGATTTGGAGATACAAGTCTAACCGAGAAGGAAATATTAAATAAAATTGCTGAGGCTGTTCACGAAGCAAGGGATGGAATAACTCAAATTTTCTTTATTATTGGAGGTAGGTTTAGCAAGGCCGAAATAGATACTTATGAAGCAGTTTATAAATTGTTTTCTAAGGCTATTTGTGATGAAAATGTTGCCAAGTATATTACCATTGTGCGTACTCATTTTAAAGACTTTAAAAATGAAGGTGAATGTCAGACTGACATTAATTTAATGTTAAATGACCATGGTGAACTTTCGGAAATTATTACAGAAGTAATTAATGAAGGAGGAAAAGGCAAAATTATTCATGTAGACAATGATACTTTTCAACTTCGTACTGATTCAAGAAAAATACTCCTTGATCGTTTGCAAAAATGCCGAGGAGTTTATAAACCTGAAAGCATTGATGAGTTAAATAGAAAAATTAGTGGATCATTGAGAGAAAAACAGGATTTGTTGGAAGAAGTTAACTTACTTAAGAGAGAAATAGATAATCTAAAAAAATGAGGGCAGACAAGTGATGAGGAAATATATCAATTACAAGACCAGTTGCAAGAAAAAGATGAAAGGATTAATTCTTTATCCCAAACTATCTATTCTCAAACTATGCAACACATGGAGGAAAGAACAGAAAAGAGGTCAGAAATAAGAGAGTGATTAGATCTTAGTCTTTCTGCATTTTCAACTGTTGCTACCATGGTAAGTACGGGATGTAAAATAACATAGGTTAGTAATTTTTGTTGCTTCAAAGGGTCTAGATCTGAAAGTTATGTGTATCGATAAACCACCCAAAAATTAAGAAGTTGTTGAGTAAGGGAAAACTTAAAAAGTTCAAATAAAGGAACTTTTATGGACTTTAACAAAAAAATAAAGCATTAAGAGTCAGAGAGTCTAAAATATAAAAATTACACAAATACAAAATCTTATGGTAAATAATAATGGAATACCCTTTGAGGTAAAAAAGCCGTTTGAAACGGTATACGAAATAAAAAATAAAACTCCCTCTTTTGAAGAATTCATGAAAACTTATCAAGAAGATAAAAGAGCAAATGAGAGTTATAAAAATGAGATTGCTGGTTATGGAAATGTTGGTGTGTTCAGAGGTTATGGATCATGTAGTCGATGTAGATAGTTATCTTACTTTTGAACTTGAAATTGTTCTCGAAAATTCTCGTGGTAGGTGAAAGAAAAGGACGGTTTATAATGTAGATGATGCTTGTAAGGCAGCATCTGAAATTGTAAGAGAAGTGGGTTTTTGAAGTAATGGTAATCCAAGTTTCAGTTCGCGGGAAAGAAAATCACTAATTAACAAAATTAGTGATGCAATTGTTGATCATGTTGGTAATAATATGAATGTTGATAGGGTTGTAAGAAATGATGTAGATGATGATTGTACTATTCTGTAACGATAAAAAAAGTAAAAAAAAATAATATGACAAAAAATTACATAATACCGAAGGAAAATTTTCCTAAAATAGAAGAAGTTCACGAGGTAGAAAATTATATCCCTACTTATGAGGAATTTCTAAAAAATTATCAGGTTGACCAAGCAGTAAATAACAGTTATGAGAATGAAATAGAAAGCTATAGCGATGTTGGGGTTAATAAGGGTTTTGGTCCTTGTTATGTTTGTAATAAGCCAATAGATTGGACAAGCTTATATATTCCTTGTCCTGTCGCTGGTTGTAGTAGCACAAATTTTACTACTCAAACTCATTCAAATGGGTGTGGGGGAAATTTAGAAGTATCTACCAGAGGCTATATTAGATGTAAGAGATGTTGAGCCGAAAGTCATATAAATAATTGGAATTTTTCTTGTTCTAGTCATGGCGGAGGGGGAGATGGATGAGTTAATAATCGGTCTTTTAGAAAGGCTTTGGGTTTGGCTCTCGCAATGGACAATGTTGATCAAGTAATTAGCGATTTAACTGTTTATGTATCTAGTCATAAGGGTCAGATTAATTAACATATTGGTGTAGGTAAAGGGAGTCTCAAAAACTCCCTTTTACTAACAATTATTTCAAAACCTCAAAATAAATCCAACTCCCAATAAGAGTAATAATTATTAGTGAATAAAACAACAAATTATCCGCCTTTTTAACCTCTTTTTTTAGGCAAAAATAAATCCCTCCTAAACATACTATTTCCATAAAAACAACAAAAAATCAGAATAAGAAAATAGGAAAGTTCATAATACCTAAATTTTTGAATGGTTAAGTTTTTTAACAAATTTTCTCTTTTTCCGCTTCTTTTTATCTTTACCGATACTCTTCTGCCAACTATAATGAATAGGAGCAAAATTCCGCACATGTTTTATCTGTTTTTGAGAAAGTTCGTCGGAACGACTTCACTTTTCCTCCAATTCACTCCTTTTTTTGTGCCTCTTTCCTAATAATCCTGCTAATAATTTCAAAGGAAAATTCAAACCTCTTAAAATAGCCAAGAATATATTCACTAAACAATAATATTTTCGTTTTGCTCGGTATATAAACTGATTACTTTCCGGTAAGTCTTAAAGTTCTGTTCTTTCTCTTCAAACTCTATCTCTACTTCTTTGATGTTTTCTCAATTATTCACTAAACTATCTCAACCATCTTTAACTGTTCCCTCAAAACAAAAATAAGCCTCATCTAAATTCTCGTTATTGACAATCAAATAATAAGGTTTTAAGTTCTTATCCTCTAACTTTTTTACAGTAATATTCTTTAAATTTACTTTTGACATATATGGTTTTTTTTTACTAAAAATTAAAATATTATGAAAGAACTAATAATAATTGAAACTACTCAAGCACAAAGAATAAAAAAATTGCTCGAAAAAGAGCAAGTTCCTTTCAAAATTTACCAAGAACCTACCGAAGAAAAAGAAAAATTAAAGCAACAACTAATTAAGGATTACCAAGCGGTAGCTAAAAGTCAAAAAAGGCGAAGCGAGGATGAAATTTGAGATGAAGCGAGTATGGATGGGTTAAAGTAATATATGAGTAAACCAAAAAACAGCAAGGAATCACCCCATCCCTTTCCTCATTATGGAGAAATCTATCTAGTTTACTTTAATCCAAGAAAAGGCAAAGAAGTTGGCAAACTTCGCCCTGCGGTGGTAGTTAGCAATAATATTCAAAACGAATATGACCACCATATTATCGTAGCACCTATATCCGATGAGGATTGGGAAAATTTAGCCGAAGTTCAGATTTTTGAAATATTAATCAAGGCTAATGCTACTAATGGTTTAGATAAAAACAGCAAAATTTTACTTAATCGGGTGCGAGCGATTGATAAAGAACTCCGAAAACGAGACTATGTTGGGGTAGCAGATAAGGGAATAATGGAACAAGTGAGTAAAGGATTAGAATTGGTTTTGAATATTAAGAAAGTGGTTTAGAATAGGAGTTTGGTTCTCTTTATTATATTTTAGCCTTGGCAGTGACTAAAAAAGGAGCAAAATCTCTTAGAAAATAAACTGTGATGTTTATACAAGTATAAAAATAATTTTTTTTGCTACTTTTTTTATTAGACAATAGGCGGTGGTAAATATCTAAAATATACTTATAATTCCCTTTAAGAATAACATTTATAATTAATGTTAGGAAATTAAGAAGTATGAAAGACCTATTTAGTAAAAGCAAAAAGGAAAGATGCCAATTTAAGAGTTATTATTGTGTTGGTTGTAAACAACAGAAACCCTGCCATACTATTAGCCAAGAATATTGTTGCTCTTGTGCTTATCAGATAGAGCAAGAAAGAGCAAGGGAATATTCCTCTTATCAGTTAGTTTATCAGCGAAAAAAGCAAGAGAAAAAAGATAGCATTCAGCAGCTACAACTATTAAAGGATTATCCAGGTTGTCGTAGTTGTAGCAGTAAAGAAATAGATGCCTATAATTTGTATGAAAATAACCAATTAGTTTGTCAACCTTGTTTAATAAGAAAAGAGGGTAGGAGTAGCAGTCCAATTAGTTTAACGGAACAGCAAAAATGGTATAAAAAGCATTGGAAAATAGATTTAGGGGAGTGATTGGAGAATTATGATTGTTTGCCATTCAATGCTGATTGTGCGAGAAAGTGATTGAAAGATAACCAGCATTTAGATAAGTGCGATTGCTTGGAATTAGAGGCAAAAGAGACTTACGAATTATTTGCTAATTCTTTACGGAAAATGGAAGCAAATTTAAAAGGTTGTCAGTGTGAAATTAGTCCCAAAGTTAGGGTTAGTAGTGATTATTATGCTTGATGTGAGAAGTGTGAGGAGAGTATTCTTGTAGCTAGCAAAAAAAGAGTGATTAAGAACCGGAATGACCCGCGATTTTGAGGGTTAGAAGTAAAAGAAAAGGTACTATGCGGGAATTGTTTAGGGAAATTAGTAGAGCAAATGCCCGCTAATAAGAAATATACCTTCAATAAATATCTAAGAAGAGGTTATTGGAGCGAAAACTAAATGCCAACCCTAAGCGAGAGAATTACCAAAAGAACAAGGAGAAAGTAAAAACCCAGCAA